AGCAAACACAGGTCACCGCCAGGAAAATATTACTAACATACGTCCTTCATGTCTGCTTTCCAAATACCAGCCTGGCATCTCCAGTAACGCTGCATTCACTCTCCCACTAGCGGTTATGGATCATCTCCTTGCCCAGTTTGTTATGGGGCCGATCTCATCCCACCCCACTTCGGATGCAATACAGCTGTTCCAGAGAGCAGCAGAGGAGACAGGAGCTCCACCACGACCAGCAGAACAGCAGAAGGGACGGACATTGCTGCCTAAAGCGATGCCACCACATGAGGTCCCGGCCAGCACCTATCTCCTCCCATGAGACGTCCTCTTCCAGTCCCTCTCCAGGCACATGCCTTAACCACCTGCACCCCTCAGCATGCACCCAGCTGCCTCGCGCCCCAGGAAGAACAACATTTGAGATGCCAGCTGGCAGGTTTCTCCCATGGTGAAGAGGTCTGCCTTACTTCTAATTCAGCCCAGAGATCCTCTCCCATCATCATCTCCCCTAGTACCAGCCTCCTGGGCTACAGGAGGTTAAAATCCCCAGCACTGAAGCTCTGTGTTAATTTTTATTGCTGTTTTTTTCCTCCTGAACCAAACCCTTCTCCCTTCTGAATCATTTCTGCACTCTCGCTGTCCTCAGACCAAGTCAGGCCTCATGCCACTGATTAAAAAATAAAATAAAATGCTTTTTCCATTCCATGTGCACTCAGCCAGCCAGCCAAGTTAGCTGGAAAAAGTTTTAATTTTGTTCGTGCTGCTACTGTGACTCCACATGGACCCCAGACCCCCACAGGACAGGGGACAGGTTACATCTCATCCTCCCCCACTCATGAATTCTGCTTCTGAATTTCCTAAATCTTCCGTCACCCCCTCCGGTCTCTCTTCTTTTTTTAAAAACAAACCAAAAAATGAACAGCACTAACATTTGAAAAAAAAAAACAAACACATTTTTGCTCTTAATCTGACCCCCTGGGTGTGGAAGAGCCTGGTGCTGCTACCAGTACCTCCTTTAGGTTGAACAGCGCAACGCTGCACTGCGCTGGAGAAGGTCCCGTGGGGATACTGTGCCACAATAAAACACGCCAGCACATCCCTAAAAACTTGCCACATCAGTCCCAATAGGAACCACTGCCGCCTTCTTTTATTATTTTTAAATCATTATTTTTTAAAGCCTATGTCATCCCTGGCTATAAAGACGTTATTTGGGAATTTTCTGTTTTTAAGAAGCTCCCGTAGCTTTCCCCTGCATCGTCGCTGAAAGGACGCGGACGGAGCGCGAGAGCATCGCTGCTCCGAGGGATCTTTTCCCTTTTGCTCCACTGAACTTTTCCCGAAGGTCCCCCGCCTCTGGGTCTGCGCGGAGGCCATCAGCACCGCACGGCCTGATTTTAAACAGGTGCCCCTATGCCATGGTGGAAACAGCGATTTAAACAGCTCCGCCAAGTAAGGAGCTCTATTTAGAGGTAGACAGAAATTACAGTAACAGACACACGCCCACTTGCTCCCCCTGACAAATACACACTTGACGTTTCCCCGAATTTCTTTCCTTTGGGAGAATAATTAACAAAAACCTGGTTTCTCGGTCCCTGCTTTTGCTTAAATTATCTTGAAGCTGAAAGCAGTGTAAGTATCCATAGCTCTGTGTCCTTTAGGATGAGTTTACACTTTAATTAGAAACTATTATTTGGGGGAAGGGGCACAGTTTTGGGGGTGGTAAATTACAGATTTTCTGCTGTAAGCAGTCAAGTCGCCATGAGCTAATACAGGGGAGGCTTTAGACAGAGATGGCTGAGATGTTTGTTGCTTGCACTACCAGACTTAAAAAATTCCTGGCCCTTTCTGCAGTCCCTTAAAAAAAAACAACAAAAAAAACAACAAAAAAACAAGCCAGAAAAACCAAACCCCCAAAAAGAAAAGAACGAAATATCAATTAAAATAAAGTAAAGCACGATCGATTTGCTAAATCAGCTGATTTGGAAGCAGGCTGTCCTTGACTAGGAGAAAAGAAACGGCGCTCCCGATGTGGGGATGTGCGCGGTGGGGCTGGGGACCCCTGTGCCAGCCTCCAGCCCCCGACCCTGCGGTCTCCAGGGCTGTCCCACCGTGGGGGTGGCCGTGGGTTTATATCTTGCTTGA